TCTAATATTATAAAAAGGAAAGATTTCAAGGCTCCGAAAGTACTCGACCGATATTTAAAATTATTTCACCTATTATTTAATTAATATTCAATTAATAAACCTACAGAAGACGCCCGTCTGACTTCAATAGCATTTTCTTGAATAAGACGGTTTAGATATAAGTATTATTTATTACTTTTTTAGTTTGGAGTCGGTTCTAGAAGAACTGAGTGTATTTAACAACATAATATGTACAGTCGATAGTACGTCTGTTTACTACAATATGTCAAATTTTTCTAATCTATTTTAGGCTCTTATCTTTTGACAGTTAAGTTCACAATTGATTGCAGAAATTTAGCGTCTTGTAGCAACATGAGGTATTCCATTTAAATATAATTGTCATGTGCGCCGCTATTTTATCGGTTTTTTTATGATAACTAAAAATTATTAAAATTTAGAAGTTACTTTATAAAATTATTAAGTCTTACTCAATTTTAACATTGAATAGACGTTTGCGTTTTTATTATAGTGCACATTAAACTTCAAATAGATACTAAATAGTTGGTTTCAGATTGAGTGTATTATTTAGTGATTGCATCCAATACACCACACTGTGCCTTACTTTATTTGCACCCACAAGCGACATCAAACTATAACTGCTTAGCAATTAGGTCGAATTTCGTGTTCACTTTCTATTTCCTAACTTTAACATCTTTAACATTTGAATTTCTTATATAAACAAAAACTAATAAAACTATTGTAAAGCATTTTTAATACGTTGCTCTTTACGTATACTAAATTTTATTGTCGGAGTAACTGAGCTAAAATTTTATTGAGCTAATAAATAGTACAACACCTTTACACAAAACCCGATGTTTTTATACACACATTGGATTTCCAATTAGCATCATTGTCTCACCCAATCCTCGTTTTAGGTCAATAATATTGTGCTGACTTTCAAAGCAAGTTCACTTAATTGATTACAAATGCATTCTTACTAAACTTGTTTATGTAAGAACTTCAGGACTCTTACTGATTGAATTACATTCACACAGTATTATTAAGTTCAAAAATAAATGAATAATTATTGTACAAACAACAACACCGTAATGTTGTACAAACACCGTAATAATTAATTTACAAAAAATGGCATTAGAGTACATATCAATATTCTATACCAATATTTTTCTTTCTACATTTTTTTTCTTAAACACAAACTTTTCTACTAATCGTTATATAAATGCACTAAAGCTTATCCATACGAATGTGTTAAAGAACAGTGTTATATATTCGTTAAGATTCGTTTTTGACAGGGTTCGTGTGAAATCTAAGGTTGGTTTTACTGTACTAGTAGTCGCTAGAATTCTAATTCTAATACTACTTATATATTATCTACCACCCCTAATAAATGGACCACGCGTTTATCAGCATAAAATCGTATTAAACAGCATAAGCTATTATTTTTATATTATTTATATATTATTGAACTACCCACACTTATAAACACTACTGAATCGATAATTTTCGATTTCATTTATTATTAAGTAATGATTTTTAGATCATGAACTTATATAAAAAAAATCGCCTATTACTTAAACATGTAATGTTTAAAATTTCAAATTAAGGTGATTGTTTCCTAAATTGTACGTAACTAAATTGACTTAAAAATAAACATGTTTTCAAAATTACACCATCAAAAACATGTTGAATAAAATAATCATTAATCTTAGTAATACTATAAAGAAGTCTGCACGTTTACTTGAAAGCTTTTCAGTAGGTTTAAAAAAAGAGATTCTCTACTACACTTATCTCTACAACTCTCGTCGAATGCTCCATATTTCAAAACTGTGAATCACAATAAATAATCTTACACTAGGCCGTCGCTAATAATATGCTTTATAAATTTCTCGAGTGAGCATTCCTCTTAAATACAATTCCATAGAGTCTTATATTCATAAAATAATCACATATTATTTTTTTAATATACAGAATCCACAAGTTTTATTTATAAGTATTGCCTCTTGTTTAGATGCTTGTTAAAATATTTCTTTATAGTATAACTAAGATTAATTATTTTATTCAACATGTTTTTGATGGCGTAATCTTGAATACATGTTTATTTTTAAGTCGAATTAGTTACATACAATTTAGGCAGCTACATGTACAACTTTGATTCCAATTAATTTCAGTAAAGTGTATATAAAAAAAAAACAAGTTTATTATTCTGCATTTAAAAAAGACAGGATTTTTGTAAAGAGTATAAAAATATAAAAAAATATCTACTTATGTTTTACTGCTAAAGTTACTTTTGAATAATAGGATTCCATAGAAAAATCCACTATCCAGGTGGGAATCGAATAAAGTATCTTCAGACGTCATTTATGTCACGTGATGTCCGATTACTACTTCATAGGGGTCTGCGTGAAAATATTATCATAACAAAAAAAAAGTGGACTAGTAGTTTCATCAAGCGATAGCGATAGCTGACGATATTATAAGGCATTGTTCATAAAGTAAGGTTTTAATTTTATTTAATATGTATTTTCGTTTGCAATTTAACTTTTAAAAGTTCAGACAACATTAGACAAATGTGTGTTTTTGATTTGTCTAAAATAAAAGGTTTGAATAAAATGTTAAATTGTGACTACTCACTACTCACGTTTACTTGAAGGCTTTTAAGTAGGTTTAAAAAAAAATTGGTATATCCTAGACTCGAACTTCTCTACTACACATCTCTATACCTCTCGTGGAATGCTCCATATTTCAAAACTGTGAATCACAATAACTAATCTTACACTAGGCCGTCGCTAATAATATGCTTTATAAATTTCTCGAGTGAGCATGCCTCTTAAATACAATTCCATAGAGTCTAATATCCAAAATATCTACGCTTGTTCGTAATAAACAGTGAGAAATCGCGTTCGTATGATTAATATTTCAACTATTATATCGGGTGTTACTATCATAACTACCATCACATCTAACTAAACTAAATAATGCACTATAGTACATACTATATAATTACATTGTACTGTATAATCACACAACATAAAATAATATATACATTGTTTTATACCTTGAACATTGACGAGTTATTTATAATAACTATAAAGTTTTAGTAGCAATCCTACTAATATTATAAATGTGAAAGTTTCTTTGTTTGGATGTTCGTCCGGAAATCACGCCGAAAATACTGAACGGATTTCGATGATATTTGGTATACAGATAGGGTATTAACTGACTTCGATAATAGGACACTTTTTATCCCACTAAACATTTCCCTTGGGACCACGCAGGCAAAGCCGCTGGCAAAAGCTAGTATACCATATGAAACAAATGTAATTATAAATCACTATATAATTGCTACACTTACAAAGCTCCTGTAAATATTATATCATAATTATGCTTTCTCGAATTTAGGTATCATGGAGAAAATTAGAAAACATCAATTGTTTTAACTTAATAAAAACGTATAACTCGACCACAACCTTATTTCATCTGAATCTAATTTAGAAACGTAAAAACCCATAACAATAACATTTAACAAATCGCCATCCTTAAGATTAAAAAATAACATTATTTTAGTGAACAACTAAATCGCGTGTGCAATAAATTGCCATAATATAGTAATCGGTTTCACAATAGTCTCCGCTTTACAATTCTCTGATGGAGTTCATTTATGATAAAAATAGCATCCAATAGTCTAAGGGAAGCTCTCTATACCTTGTCCATCCTCCAACTTTTAGGAAAATTCATTTTAAAGCATTCATTTATTATGTTAGCATTACTCTCATGCAACAAAGAAATATATTTTTATAAGTTCTTAAACACTAGTCGGTTATTCGGAAAGTAATTTCGAAAAAGATTTTTTCAGTTGATATGAATTCTCATTTGTTAAAACAACTGTTATGACCAATTGCAATAGTTTAGTGGTGTTGAAAGTAATTATATCGGGTAAAAATTGTTTTTTTTACTATTGTACAATAGAATAACAAACATATTATAGCATCACCCACATTAGACAGTATATTAACTCTAAAGAACACAGCGAATTTATAATTACTTTAAACGAGCAAATTAGTATACAGAAGGTATGATTTACAAAAATGCCGAGTAATATTCAAGCATCCATGTACTTAACGTTTTATCTGTAAGCTCACTAAATATTAGATATATCTACTAGTAATACACTCTGTTACCAGCAGTGACTTTTTTTATATATGTAAGAAAAACAGGAAAGACCTGACTACGTAATTTTGATATAATATCAAATACCCAAATTGTTTTTTCCATATACCAAAACTTCCTTTCTACAACCAAGTTATAAGCAAAACAACCAGAAATACTTAAAGCAAATGCAACGCAAATATGTCACAGTAAATTAAATTTTGTAGATAATACTGTTGACATTTCCTTACCGATAATGTTATTTGTGGCAAATGTTTGTATAAACTATTTACATATTATAGCCCGACTATAATCTACATCTTCATATTATTAAGCTATTGTCATGTGAAGTGTCATAATTTATTACCTTATAGGGTAGGGTATAGCTAAGCTAAAATAGATTTAACATATTCCATCTCGAATTTAAACATAGATTACTTTCCACGTAATTGTAGATACAGGATAGTGAACTTATCTTATCGGCTATATATGAATAAGTACTAAGTGACAAGATAAATACGCTAACACATCGCACCGAAGCCATTAATAACTAAATAAACAATTTAACTTTACCTGACTATAGATTAGGGGTCTTTAATTAATCACGTGACGCTCGAAAGTAGGTGGGTGGTTCGTCAAAAATCACAAATTGTCACAAGAGACGGGGAGTGTAGTAAGTATATTTTCGTCACCCGCGTTCAAAATCGAAAACGAATTGTGGTGTGACATTGATTTGTCGATAATAAGATTCTTGGTAATTACTAAAAATACACGAGATATGGATGGGGAGGGGTTAGTCTAAAACCTCACCATGTATCACCAAAAGGGAGGGAGGTCAAAAAATTGCAAAATAAAAACGTCACGTGATTAATGGACGGCCGCTTATAGAAATATACGTTAATTTGAATCATGAACTAACAATCCAAACTGACACCTATTTTGAGTGCAATAAAGTTTATTACCGTGCGATTAAACGGCGTCTTTTCTCCTCGAGTTGGCCGGTGAACCAGGCAGGTAGGTCTTTAGTCAGTCAATGCTCAGGTCATTGGAGAAGTGTCGCGATAACTTAGCCACGTCTAAGCCGGTAAAGTCGGTGAATATGTCCGTAGTGGCAGTGGAGGGTTTCGAACGTCCGGGCGATGAACTGCCTGACGCTTGCTCGCAGGGATCTATGGCTACTAATCTGTCCTCTTTGCTGCTCACCTCGAAGGGTTCTGACATACCTGAAAGCAAAAGAACACGTCGTTAACTGCCTATTTGATATCTACTGATTGGTGATTGGGGGTAAAGTGAGCTTTATCGACGCCTCAATTCACCATCGCTCAAAATCATTTTCTTTTAAAAATGACGTTGAGGGTTGATAAAGTCCTATTTGAAACTTTCAATATGTTAAAGTCTAACTATTTATTTTGTTAATTGTTGAGTAGAAAACAATTAGATGACCTTAATAATTACATTTACTAACTTAAATGTGGTTATTAAAGTTTTTGAATTGGTAAATATTTTGTATCAATAGAAAAAAAAACAGAAGTTTTAAATCGTTGACCATTGCATTTGGAGTTCAATTTAATAGGTGATGACCATTTTTTATCTGTCTGCCCGTCAGATAGAATATTGAATAATATTAGGCATGTATTCTTTTTAAAGAATAATTATAGTAAATTGGATAAAGCTAAAATCAGCTCCAAAAGGGCCAAGTTAAAGACTTAATTTGCTTATTTTTGCTTATATCTTCTACTTAATGTCATACAAATTTATTTTATTGTTATTATTAAACTCCGTAGCCGAATGATTCGTACGCCGCCCGGTTACAAGGTACCGCGATCCCTAGGTCCTGGGTTGAATTTCCAGGCGGGTTAATTATATAATTATTATATATATAATTAATTATATATAATTATATATTTAGTTATATAATATATTACTTACCCAAAACACTTCTGACATCATGATTGGGTTGACTAAAATATATAAAACGATAGAAGCCTGGCGTTCTAACACCGCTGCCAACTGGAAAACTGAGCGTGATAGTTCTAGGTTGACCAGCGGTCGTGGGTGCGTGAGGTAAGCTCACTCTGGCAAGATATTCGTATGCTATGAAGTCGTCGAGACTGTGGAAGTTGGCCTGTAACCAATACAATCACCTATTATTTATTTATTATTATATCATGCTTACAGCTAGACATATTTAACAATATAAAAAAAAATTAAAACAAGCAAAGTGGTATGTAATTCTTGTATAATATATTAAGTATAAAGAAAGAAAAAACAAATTATAACAAATAATATAATTTTTAACAACTAACCTATACACAAATAAATGCAATAAGTGTCTGTTCATAATGTTAAAATAACCGCTTTTTACTAAATGCATATGCACAGTGCATAGGTACACATGCTACACCTGTATTTTATTAAATACTAACTGTTGTCCCGCGACTTCACCCAGGTAAATTATAGCCAAAATCAAAATACTCCATAGGACCATTGGTAAAATAATTTATAAAATCAATGCAGTAGTTTCGGAACCGTTTCAATACAAACAAACAAACAAACAATAAAATCTTTTTTATTTCCAATATTAATAAATATAAATGTGGAATCATATTAAAATAATAAATCGGTCAGATTTCATACATTCTAGATTATGCAATATGTCTTCAATAATAATACAATAATATTGTTATAGAGGAATTACTTCGAGCTATTTGTTCACTTAAATAGGGTTCAAGATTTGAATTCCATTGAGACAAAACTTTTCTTATTTCACATTCACCTCACATAAATATAATTTTAATAAGGTCACCCACAAGTCTAAATGGCAATATCTTTCTTTAACAAGGAAAACGATATCTCGGCAAATGTATGTTTTTTTAAGCAGTTGCAAAGGTCATGGCACGAGGTAAGAAGCTGCGAGGATTGCATTTATATGGTTTTTATCAGTTCATATAATTAAAGTACTAATGTGTTTTTCCTATTTTTCATTTATTTGAGAGAGCAGATACTGATTTAAGCGATTTTCGAAATCGGAACTGTAGGCAAATTTTGCAATTTAAATTACGTCACACGTTAGGAGGGGGGGGGGTCGACGAATTGTGACATTAGAAAAATATTTAGTAGAATTTGTATAGACAAACATGTGACAGAAGGGGGTGGGTGGTTTAAAAATCATGAATTTTGTGTGACGTAATTTATGGACGGCCCCTTATAATTATTTCAATAGAATCTCAACGATTAACATTTTGCCACTGTACTATGCACCTGAAGTCCAATATTATTATATAGGATATAATATTATTATATGCCAGGACTTCGTGAAGTGGAAATGTGAAATATACTGAACAACTTTTACTATGGGAGCAATAGTGCTTTCACGAAAAAATTATCAGCTCTTTCATACAATAAGGTTTGTGTTCTACAAGTGAAAATACAGATTTCTATTATATGTTCGGAAAATATAAACCATTTTGACTCATGACCATTGATATTGAACAAAATGAATTTTATGACACTCATTTGGAAAATATTACGCTTTGAGAACTTGAAAAAAGGACGGAAAATATAGTATAAAAATTTGCTACAATACGTATATTATATTATTTACATAAAACATAACAACTTTAATAATGACAGCTATAAACATAAACGCACAAATAATAAAGATATTAAAAAGATTGCCCAGACGTCTATACGTTTATCGCTACCGTAGCACTATGTTAGATCTTATAAGACGGATATTAACTCGATCTCATCTTCTGAAGACGTAGCATCGCAGAAACAGTCAGCCTGTGACCACGGCCGGTGTAGCCTGGTCGAAACATCGGGAAATATAGGTAGGTGAAAAACCTAACTATCAAAATATATCGCGCTAATACCCTACAATGCAACGCGAAAGTTTAAAAGTTTACATAGCACTATGTGACGTCACTTAGTGCATTGAATTTGTAGGGAGTGTTTACAGCCGACTAGAAGTAGTTCCACAAACAGCACCGCATCTCCGAAACTATTAATCGCAGTGCTGTTACTTCTACATTATTTCTCAAATATTAATGGACTATTTATTTATAAAATATTCAAAAACTCTTACATCATATATTCCAATCCAGTCGTTTGGATGTATTTCTACGTCGGGCGATAATGTGCATTGCGTTCTGAAATCGGCATCACCGATATACCATATACCGCTGATGGCTGCAAACTCCACCGTTTTCTCAGTATAATTCGAAAACGCCTGGAACAAAACCAAATTTTACTCACACCGAAGTCACAGACCCGCAAAGGGATGATGTCTGAGTAAAAAGATGAAATTCTCCTTAATCCGTCAGTTAGAAGATAAAAAAATATTAAACACGTATTATTTTTTACTTCAACTTAACAATATTTTTTTTCTAATTGAGGAGTGGGCCTCGCTACGTCACTACTATAAAGAAAATGTACAAAGGTGCAACGTCATGTGACCTTTCAACCCAATATATTGCCGTAATTTATTGATTACGCAAGAGCACGTGTTTAAAATTCTTCAATAATGTCTCTGACGTGACGGACTGACAAAGTTGAATGAAGTATGACAAGTTGTGATAATCTGACATGCGTTATAATCTGGCAATATGTACAGTAGGAAACAAATGTATTTTCTAAGCATACTAATTTAAAAAAATATACTTTTTGCCATATAGACTTTGATCTTGACTAATTTCATACTCCTATGACAATGTTTTCGTAAAAAGAGGTCCAAATAGTTTGCTTCACATATTAATATGATATCAAATACAAAAAAAAATATTGGTAGCCGTTAGACACAAATAAGTGTTTTAATCGTGTAAACTTTGCATCACTGTGTTGATATATATCTTTAAAATAGTACCTTTCTTCGTTTACCTGAAGGTCTGAAATTTCTTGTTTTTTATATTACATACTAAAATTATTCTTATTACAACTTAGCAGTTATTTAACGAAGAAACAAATATTTTAAAGTATTTACTCAAAATAAATTTATTTAAAAGTATTGTTTTTTTATAGCCTCGAAATAATATACTGGTACTATTAATGTCCCCACTTCTAGGGCTCATGCCTTTCCTAATGGATGGACTCGAATAAAATCAAATAGGGAGAATGGGCCATGACCCACCAGGATAGCCCAGTGCGGATTGGTGCAACGACTACAGATGCAGAATACATTTTTGATCACCCATCTTTTATCCAGCCCTTGCGAAAGTTGCTTAACAACCGTATCACAGACCAAGAGTCGTCGTCGCGAACAACTACGTCGTCCAGCTCATCATTACCTCATCGAGTATATGCATAAATGGAACATAATTTATATGTATAAACCAGTAGTTAACTCAAGCCATTTGCTTTCACATTGCAAGAAGCCTTCATCAAACCAGTATTCAAAGTGTTACTCAATTAAATCAACATGCAGTGCAGAAATACTAAATATTACTACAGGCAACAGCATATCAAGCCATGCCAAATGCTACATTGATGACCTAAACATATTTAAAATTAAGTTCAACACCAAAGCCAAACAATAACTGCTGTATCATTAAATCCCAAATAAATGTCAGACAATGAGACATGGCATATTATAATCAATGTTTGTCAAATGATTATCAAAAAAAAAAACTAAATAAAAGTAACAGTTACAATTAAATACCGCGTGGTAACAATGCCCACGGTTATAAGTTCGTACTAAAATACTTTTCCTTCAGTGTTATGAGTGTGTGAGTAAATTTGAACAAGAATAAGTGTATTAGCACGAATTATCATAGGCAGGTCTTATTTCAACGGAGGCCTTAATAGGGATGACAACTGGGTAAAAAAAGATATATTTAGTCCGTCAGTCAGATAATAAAAAAATATTAGATACGAATTTATTTTTGTTTCATTTCAAACAAGAAATGGCTTAGATAATAGGCATTAAAGTTGAGGAGCTAGTTCGCTATGTCACAGTTATGTGGAAAATGTTCAAAAGTGTGACGTCATGCGACATTTCATTCGTCATCCCTGTTGCCGCAGGTGGCGTATACCTAGTTACTTTTTAAATGATTTGCAATAAATAAATATATTTTATAAACTTTATCTCAACTGGCAATACTGAACATATTTAACTTTATAATAAACAAAATGTTTAAAGATACATTACCTGCACCTCTTCCTCCGTACTTTGGACATTAGCTAGCGAGCTATCTGTCGTATCGACCGCTACCACGTTAGTACCTTCACCGTCTGACGAAACGAACGGCACCGCACCGGTCGCCACCTCGTCCGTGGTAGAAGGCATCACTATTGCTGAACGCATCCTAATCCCCGATCTAGCTCGTGGTGCTTCAGCTACTACCGAGCGTGTGAATCCGTTCCGGATCTAGCATGCGATTAATTGTGCAAGTAAGCTTCTTTTCTTATGTTATGCTTTTTCTGTAGCACTACCTACTACTATTTATTAAAGCGTAAAGATTAGGGCCCATCCATGAATTATATCACACGATATTTTTTTTCTAAATTTTGCACTTTATTCTTAGCCAAGTTGTTTTTTCTATTAATAAAAAAATTTACGGTCATATCACACATTCAAAACATAATTACGCGGTAAGTATTAGAAATAAAAATCAACATTAGGCTAAAAGCACGTTAATCCTCATCGACCGGACCAAAAGATGCGAAAGAAACGAATTTTAGAATCATCAGTACGCGGCGATACGCCAGAATCTTAATGTGCAATGCAAGTTCGTTTCATTCACCTCAAATTTATCTGCTAGCAGCATAATACGTAAACAAAATTAAATATGTATGATGCAATCACATAATTTACATTTCATCATATTACCAAATCGGGTTCAAGGATTATTATCCAGAAACAGTACGATACTGAACACATACATTGTTTTTAAACGTATATCACCAAGTTTAGCTGCCATCAGTAACCAACCATTTGTTTTTTTTTAATGCTGACTGCAATAAACATTAAAATGTTTCTATAATGAAGGTCAAAGTAATTACAGGGACTTGATTTTTTTTCCTCCTCTTTTTTCCAAGTCTTCTAAGCTACTAAGGTCATATCCATACTAACCATATCCATACCGATACCATATCCATATTAATATCACAAATGAAAAAGCGTATTTGTTTGCCTTTCTTTCGCTTCACAGCTGAATGTCGTTATATTATGATTTAGAGAATGGAGTTAGTTGGATAGACGAAAAGTATGTAATAATAAACTACTCTTTACCGCAACAAATGCTGTTAATAATTTTTTAACATGAGAGCGAAGTCGCGGATAGCAGTTAGTATTTATCAAATTCAGAAAAATCTCAATGGCGTAATGATTATCAACTTTCGGAATGACCTTGTCTTCGTAATAAATACAAAGAGTAAAAAAAAACTTTCTCATCGTGTATTGACGTCATTATACGTGAAGTTATAGCTTGTCACAAACAGGTTACTTTGACATTTATATGAATAAATTTATTTATTTAAATTAATGGATGGTACCTATTGTAAAAATCATCTACAACTATTGTATCAAAAACATTATATTAGCGTACATTGCAAACTTACTAACATTGGTTAATCTTTACTTATTACTTTTTTACCATGAAAAAAAGGAACATGCTCTTAAACAATTCCAATGCTAACACCAATACATGCTTGTTTACATTATGAGTATGCAAACAATACTATCTAAATTTGCCGCTCCGAAGTCAGTACTGTAACTACATAACATACTTCTTGCACTCGTACTGGCAACAACTGTATAAGCAAATGTTAATTTAGATATTCAAATTCATCACGCTTGCTTCTGTCGCGTATGACGCCGACGTTGTCTAACAGTAACTTTATAAGAGTTACACATAAAACTAAATAGAATGAAATACCGTGTTTTAACCCATTAACGCCCGCCGTACTATACGTAATACAGTAATTTAAGTTATTAAATGTTTTTTTTTTTCATTTTGGTAACCCTTTCAACCTATCAATCGAAGTCACGCAGTAAGTATATAGCAAAATCATGATTCAATTATTAAATAATCAGAGGGTAGATAACATTTAGTGCCAGTGATTTTTTTGATATATGTCGGTGAGTATTTATTTATCATATTGTAAAAGAATGAATATTGAAATAAAAAAATTATTTTTTACTCAGTAATTTTATATTCGTTTGTAAAACACTTAGAAAAGCTAAATTCACAAAAAGTGATTCAAGCAATAACACGTAAAGTGCTGCTGTACTAAGTTTAGTACAATCGGCGATTGACATGTAACGTAAGACAGTTCAGTGGAAAAGTTTATAATCGTGTTCTCAAGCTTTTTAGTCGTAATATTACTCATAATATCTCAATAACGAACTCTTTAGTGGCATTGTTATCAGATGATAAGAGAAAACTACATACCTAGAAATTATAAAATGATTTTTCGACGTACTTTAACGAAAAAATAAAATTGGAAATAAATACCATAAGCCAAGATAGTAATAATGATTACGATGTTTTTATGCAGCTACCGAATCCAGATGTTATCACAGATATAGCTAGAAAATGTGACTAGTAATATGCATAGACGTTGTAATTCACAGATGTAAATAAGAATACTAGAGCACCGATTATGATGAACCCAGAATGTGGCAAAAAGAGGACGAAGTGGAACCAAAGCTGAGCTATTTACTAAGTTTTTTGGTATATTCAAGCCAAATATCTACTGCAGAAACATAAATCTTAAATATGGTAAAACGTTTAACACTTGTTAAAGTGCGAGAAACTTTTCAATGATACAAGGCTAGAACTTATTATGACTCAAAATACTACATGATGAACCAAACAACAGTCATGATAAGGTTTGTAAGAAGATAGTATTTACAAATTCCAAGTCATCCGTATATTACCGGATACTATAAATTATCTAGATAAAGATCAATTTGAAGTTTCAATGATAACATTGGTATGCCAATAGTTTCAGAACGCATCTCCAGAACTAGAATTTTGGGAAAAAGTTATGTCAAATTGTTATGTGACATGAAAACTTGAATGACTATTTGTACTTCAACGAAAATTACTTTGAACTGTCAATCCTGAACACGCACATATTTAAGTAACAAAAAGCAAAACGTCCATCCATCATTCAAGAAAAAATAAATAATCATTATCCTAAACAAATACTGATATACCAATAGATGTGTCCCATGTTCCTACAGAATCAAAAGAGGGTCGCAAAAGTGACAAATAATGTATGTCGTGTTTGGATAGAAAATACTTTTTTCGGTATCACCCGTAAGCGTCCATTGTACTTACAATATCTCAAAAAGTACATCTTATAATTCTTTTTTGTTATTATTTCTTTGTTGTGGATGATTTTTAAAACCATTTTTAAAACTAGATCACTAATATTTGTGTTGGATTTTAGTGGGCGTTAATGGGTTTAAAATAAATTGAAGGCGAACTTTCACTTGAGGATCATCATCAGTCCTTTTTACGCCTCATTGCAGGGGCTCAGGCCTTCCTTATGGATGGTTAAGGAGAATGGGCCATAACCCTCCACGCTGGCCTATTGCGGATTAGACGGTACTGATGAATACAAATGCAATCAGTACCAACGGCTTTTCGTGCTTTCCGAAGCACGGAGTAGCTCGAGATAATAATTTTTGGTCACCCATCCCATGACCGACCCTTACGAAAGTTGCTTAGCAGCAAAGTTCGCGAGCAGCGGCGCTTATCCACCATCGAGCTCACTAGATGATTGCAAAAGGTTTTATATTATAACAATTCCCACATAAAACAATTCTCAACTACTAACTCCAGGGCAGCAAAACTTACTTACTTATTATATAATAATACACTTGCTTAATCAGATCAGCCAAGTAGCACCTAAACAGACATCATATTATGCTAAGGTCACATTAGAGATACGGCAAAAGTTTTAAGAGTTGACGCCATTGTTTGACACATAGCGCAAAAGGCTATTTGTGATCTTCAGAGCAAAATTTAAAAGGCGTCATCAGGAACGAAAGTGTTCTTTAATAGTATTGTAATAAGACTTCAGCATTAAATGAACAATAACAGTCGGTAGACCATAAAACATAAGACTCCACTAACCTTGATACTGTACATAGCGACCACCGGTTTGTGGTCACTAACGGTGTAGTGAGGCATATGATTGTATGACAACAGGTCCGCTCTTAGAGTTACATTCTCGTAGTTGTTAGTTATCACCTTATATAGTATTCTGTCGGTCCACGAAGGTTTTCGTCTGGAAAAACAGTTGCTTACATAGTATTTGAGGGCATTCATGATTAACATATATTGAACAGTTCAAAGATGCGGTGTTAATAGCCGAGTGGTTCGCATATTAGTTTCATATCTTATAAGGAGGGCTTGTGTTTTGTACAATGATAAACTAAGCGTTGTAGATGTATTTAATTCATCTTTAAATATATTTAAAAATCGCATCACTGATCTCTAATATACAGTTAAACTGAAGCTTGTTGTAATTGTTTTCTATGTTATTTCATGTTTTTCTTTTTTTACAGTAACTTTTAAACAATTTTATTTTATTTTTAGTGATAATTTTGAGTGCATTCTTTAATTGCGGAGGTTAACATAAGAAATATATAAAGATTGTTATCATTGATGGAACTATAGGTTTAGAAACATGTACTATAATTTATTATGATAAGTAAAATGTATAAGTGTTTCCTTACTAAAAATAAAAAATAAAATCTACAGATTCAGAGGTCAAATAAGAAAATATTATTTTCGATTATAATAAGCTACTCTTGGAATTTGAGCGACGCATATGATAATGTCTAATATAAAATGCACCACCATCACCAGCTTACTAATATCCCCACTGGGACTCAGGCCTTCCCTATGGATAGAATAGAATAGGGAGAAAAGTTTTTGCATTAGCAAATGATACCGTTTAAAAGCGATCATACCTATATGCAATCGGTTACAGTAGGCGACCATTTCGTATAGGGAAAAAAGGAAATAAAACCTGATGACTGCGTATAGAAACATCTACGTCAACGTGACTTAATAGAAAAAAGCCAAACTGCGTCAACTCTCTCTTATAGACGCAAGAAAGTTCAACAGCACGTACAACTGATACCTATTCTCCGAGCCGCGTTTTGTGCGTGGAACGCCATATTATTATTTTCGAATTTCAACAAAACCGCACAAGTGACGTATACATGATTACAATAATGAAGTTGTTTTACTTATATAGTTGTTACTTGAAACTCACGAAGGTAGGTCAATGCCATATTCGGTTTGACGTCATAGTAAGACTGCTATTGAGGAAACCGGTACCTACGTTAACGCATATTATACGTATTATGTGCTTATTAAATCTGCTGTCGCAAATGTCGTGATAAAAACAAATGTTATATCCAATTATCCAAATATATTTCACATGCAGTGCTATTCTGTTATAATACGGCCTGGAATTCGTCATCGAGCGCAGCGCTGTCAGAAGTTCGATCAAATAAAACCTACTTCGAAATTCATTATATTGAAGCTTTAAATGCTGTCACAGGGCTGCACTTCATGATGAATTCGGGGCTGTTTTTTTTAATAGCATAGATCAGTCATACAAAGTTACGGCACGCGGGCTGCATCCGACCCGCAATCACAATAAATCACAGAAAAAAAAAAACATGTTTTTTTTTTAAATTTTAGTCTGTACTCGAAACTTCTATGGAAATTAAAACATTCACGAGAGCGTGTTCATTATTTATGCTTGTTTAACAATAATTCATTAAGTTTTTTTTTATTTGGACCTGATCCTCCTACACATTTTAAATCTAATATTGCTCATATCACAAGCCTGGCATAAAAGGTTTCATTTTTAATTATTATCCACATCAGCCCTTTTGCGTTCACACTGCCGAAGCTCAGGCCTTCCTTATGGATGGCTGCCCCCTGGGGATTGGAGGGTATTAACAACTGTAAATGCAGCCGGGACCAACGACTTAGCAAGGAAATAATATTTTTTTGGTCACCCATTCGGTGACCGACCCTTGCGAAAGTTGCTTAACAACAACGATCGCGGGCCGCAGCGGGTATCCACTACGCCACCGAGCTACTTCATTTTTATAAAACGCCTGATATCTAAACAATTCTTCGTTCTAACACTACACAATTTTATCGAAGCATTCTTGTATTGTAATAATCACAATGCTTAAAGGGAGGCGGCATACGTAGTAGCCGTTTCTATGGTTTTGTAGAGGTACTTGCGTGTCAATTCGACATCCCTCAAATTCAAAAATATTTTTTGAGTTTGGAGAATGGCTCCATTTTACCTTTGATAACACTCAAAAAAATTAACAAGGTTTAAAATTAAAATATTTTTGTCGCATATAAAAATAACACGCCTTATTATTTTTTACACTGTTCAAATAGCATATAAATGAATGATTTAAAGATGAAAAAATTATATTAAAAAAAAACTTGTCTATTATGGCGTCTCGATTAAAACTTGTATCCAAAAAGATAATGAATAAAAAAGAATGTTTTTGTCATATCACGCAAAGTCAATAATTTTATCCTTGTTACAGATTCTTACGGCATGGAAATATAGCACACACATACACACAGACAGCAGCAAAACATGTTATCTGACATGATACTAGTTTTACCTAAGTTTAGTAGACAACAAATTGAAACTTTTTACATCAATCCCAGTAGTGAATTAGAGGCCGAAAAAAATGTATGTCTCTTACATGTTCCCGGACAAATATTTTTTTAGGATAATTATTGGAAATATTTTTACATTAGAAAAAATCCCTGAATGTCGAATGAAAACTCGAGAAAGACTGAACCAATTTGGCGGATTAATTTTTGTTGTTTGTTGCAGTCTGAGGAAGGTGGAAATAGGAAAAAAAAAATTTTTTTATTCCATACTAACTCCGTCCCCAGCTATCAAATATTTGACGTCAATAAAAGCAAAACAAAGGTGTTTAAATTATCATTGATATGCCTTCAATATAACATTAAAAAAGGTCAATGTTACTTTGTTTTAGAGAAATAGGGCAAGACGAAGTCTGTCGGGACAACTATTTTTATGATATCAATAATATATGTCTATAGAATATTTGTTGAATACACCCACAACTAATAATTCCAAACGCTTACTTGACATCATATTCGTCGCCGCCAACAGAAAATTTGTAAGTTGGTGGAAACCGAATCTCCGGTTCCACAAATTCCGAGAATGCTTCTCCTGTGTCCATCACAGCCAATAACTGATCGTGTTTGAGTAGGCTTGTGTACTTGTCTTTCTCCACTTTGTTCAATGTTTCAACAATCTGTTCAGATGTGGGACTGTCATCTTGAGGGTGATCTGTCCGGAAATTCAAATCGCCAATCCAGAATACATAGCTAAAAATAAAAATGTTATTAGCTTATTATTACATAGATGTATAATCACTATAAGGTGGATAGAATAGCATTGAATGGAATAGGGAGAATAGGCCATGACCCATCACGCGGTCCTAGTGCTTATTGTTGGATATGAACTACAGATGCAGCCGAAACCAACGGTCTTTCGAAGTTGTAGATAATGAATATTGGGTCACCCATCCTATGGCCGGCCATCGCGAAAATTGCTTAACAGCCGTATCGCAAACCGAGCGCGCTAGCCACTGCGCCATCGATAAATTAGATTCGGAGCTCCAAAAATTCCGCACTAAAAAGACTGTTCAAGTGCGTGATAAGTTGGCTGTCGAAAATCCAAAAGTCGATTTGCGACCTAATACAGAAAAATTTGCCTTTCTTTATCACCTTAGAATGTCTCGGATGTGGGATTTTGGGTAATTAAGATATTGACGTCATTATGCATAACAACTCTACCTACTTGGGATCTATTCAATTTAAACAATAAAGTATATTGAAATGTTGTTTTATATTTTTCATTATTAATTTTATTGAAATAATTACGTACCTACCTATAATTATAATATAAAGGTTTTTTTATATAAATCATAAATTTATATGTTTATCACTATTATCAAATAACTCATTAAATTAAAGCTGGCCGAAGATTTGCCGCCTCTGTCTTTTTTAACCGCGCGAAATAAAATATGTATGTAATTAATCGCAAACCATTATTGCTCATCGTAGAATGATTGCATACAGATTCCCACACTCGTAATAGAAAAAAAAAGAGTAAAATTACGAGAAATTATTGATAATCTGAGATTTTTTAAATTTTATATTTTCCGCTTTTGCCTGTGACACAACAGTACAGATGGAGTTTTTCATTTAAACTACAGCTTATTTGGACCTTGTCTCGTGGTACAAACCAATTAATAGAAACTCATTTTTGGTCGTGCCTTCTTAAAAAAATATATATTTCAAATTTGTAAGTCATGTGAACAGATATACCTACATTTAATATCCATTACATACTTTTCTATTTCAGAACCGAATGCTTTTTACTGTTTCATATTACACTAGCTGTATTGCCGCGACCTCGCGTACATCATGCGCTGGTGATAGATTTATCACCAGAGCTACATCATGGTGATAAATCTATGGTGATAAATCTATCACCAGCGCATGATGTAGCTCTTCGTAGGTAAGAGAATTTTCATTTTCAATAATTTATGGAAACTTTAATGATTTTTACTTTTATTGATTTTATCAAATATAATGGGGAAATTGAATAAGTGAGTAAACAATGCGAAGATAATTATCAAGGCATGACGCAACAATATTCTTTTCCATGCCCTTGACGCTAACAGGTTTCAAAGCTAACTTCGTACGACTTTACGTTATCAAAGTACTATATACTATTAACCTATTTATCTAATTGATAAGGTGACCAATATACTGATAATTTGATGAGATAACGATATTTCTATTTGATGTTACCATTCCATGCTATTTTTATGAGATCATTTTATAAATAGTTTCATTTAAAATTATAAACAATTACAGCATATATATAAAAATCTGATAAAAAAAAGAGATCTCAGAGCAATAGTTAATTTTTCTAATTTGTTTACTACAACTAAAATATTCTTAATGAAAAATTTTGAATGTGAAATTGATCAAATAATAGTCACTATAACTAAGTTTCAACCTGAATAGAAAATATCTTCTTTTTTAATCACTTGCTAGCTCATAGAACATAATAGCGCTACTATACTAAAGACACATAAGAGTGAGGCCAGTGATTCTGCACGAAAATCTGTCATAGTAAAGAAATTAAATTAGGTGCTTAACGTTTAGACACTCGAAACCGAATGTAACATTCTACAGTACGGCTATGCAAAGCCCAGCCAACTAACTAATTTAAAAACATCCGTAATATAATAGCAAATATCCGTGATATATAAGAATAATATTGATCAATGCCATAACCATGGAATTTTAAGTACTAAATTCAGAGAGGCAGACAGAGTTTTTTGTTGTATTTGCATACCTAAAATCATACTTTATTTTACAAGAAACCGACAGCCAATACGTTATTGGGTAACGTAGGCACGGATACTTGCCGGCCGATTTTAACACTGAGTCACTACGTGGACACGAATGTAGCTGAAAGTATACACTATAGGTATCAACGACAGCTCTCTGCAGGGAATATGTCAACAGAGCAAACCATCTCTTACGCAGTACTGAAATGTGAAATCCTGGCACCACACAGGGGACACATACTAGGCAATCCATCAACACACCATGAAGCCTGTGGGGACCCTAAAACGCTTCTGCGTTTCTGGGCAGTTGGATTGGCTGGAGTAAGACATTCAACTTTTTATGCACGATGGACCGATTAAAGCGACTAAGTGCGGTAAATTGGAACCCCTAACCTAACGTATGTGATAGCACATTGGTTTCTAGCGCCTCGGCTTATTCTTTAATCGCTTAAGTTCTCAGAATAAGCCGGAAGCCACAGAGGAGCTTATTGTACGTGAAAGTATTTTGTCAGCACACAAAATACAATTTAGTATGTACGACTTTTCGTTTAGTTGCAACGCAGCCAAAGTCAAAGTCAAAGTCAAAATAATCTTTATTCAAATAGACTTCTTAAAAGTACTTTTGAATCGTCCAACATTTTTTCCCTACCACTCGTTCAGGACGTCTTTTGGCTGATAAGAAGAACGAGCAAGAAACTCACCAGCTCTAATATGAGTAATGACATTTACAAAAACCATGTCATTACCAGATCAATATATTATAAACAGAGATAAAAAAAGCTATGGTCTTATAATAATAACATAATCATTTAATAATAATGGAAACAAGATAATGAGTTTAGAAGTAATCACCTATCCAGTTGCTGGATCATCTCAAGTCCAAGCGTTCTTATCTGTTATATAATCGGATACCTTATAATAAGCTTTTTTAATAAGTATTTTTTTAATAGTAGATTTAAACTGCATGATATCTAATTGTTGTATTTTGCTTGGGACCTTATTGTAGAAGCGCACACACAAGTTATCAATTAATAAAATGGCATAAATCCTTACTCGTGGTACAAGATGTTGGTTGTCTCGCCAACGTGGTACACATGCTGTTTAATAATCGTATTATAGTCGTTTATACGATCCGCCAACAAATGTTCATGTGCAGTCAAGTGGCAGTTTACCAGACAAACAGAACAGCCGTAGATATTAAATCTTATGCTCACAGCACCTTTGTTACCCTGCAAAATAGTCATGTTAAATGAAAACAATACTTGCAATTATTTATAATTAGAGACAAGAGTCATTCATACCAAATACATGAATTTATCTTAACAATGTCCGTAATTAAGAGCAAATCACATTAGGTTTTAGACAAACTTAACTTTAAGTTGCTATGAGAGCTATTTTAGCTTTTTTTAGTTCTCAGTGTGAAACTAACGTGATGTAGCTATATGAGTAAAGTAACATTCACTATTTTCATTCTACATTTGCACACAGATTAAGTTTTTTGAAGTAAAATTAAATAGCAACACAACTTTAATTTAGAACTACTTTCATTTAATGTGTCCTACTAGTGAATTAGCATGAACATTTATATGTAAATTAAACTGTAGTAAATGTTTTAGGCATTTTATTTTGGTAAAGAAATCAACTCTTCATTAGGTATATATTGTTTGGGAATCTGTATAATTTATAAATGAACTTTAAATAACAAGAAATGAAGCTTTATGATGTAATGTAGTTTTCATTTTGAGAAAATGTAAGTATAAATAAATGAATACAAACTTTTATATTAAAGTATCACTTATATCATAGGGCTCATACAGACGAGCTTCAGTGTGTCAACAACCTCGAAAGTCATAATTATGGTGTTAGTTTAAAATAAGTAGATATATTTAAAACTGCATAATAGTAAACAAAGAGGATCAAGTAGATATAGATAGCTACAAAAGATAGAAGAATTACCAACAACAATTATCTTCTCAGAGCAGTGAATATAATGTTTTTTTTACAACACTTACCCACATACCTCCCAAGCCAGTTTTTGTATACTGAGCTTCAATATCCCTGAGATGCATTACATGCTTCATTTGTGTGTATACTAATAATACTAGACCCTGCAGCCTAGTACTTTTAGCAATGACAAAACCTTGACGGCAAAGTATTTTGTTGAATGATGATGTCCATGGATCAGAAAATAGTGAATCCATTAACATGTTTTGAGGTTGTGATTTTACCTCTTGTAAGCTAAAAGAGGTTAAAACTATTATAACAATATCCTCAAACTATAATTAATAATCTTTTATTACAGGCAGCAGCATGTAAAGTTATACAAAACTGACTTTCTCCACAGTTTCAAACCGTAATATGTTGAGTAGAGAGAGTAGAGTTCAAAACGAATTAGAGAAAATTTTGTGGTAACCTGATGTGCTACTGTATGTAATTGTATAAAAAACAATAAGTGTTCTTACCCTATCACATAGAAATCAGGTAGTGGTTTATTTTTATTATATTGTGAGGGAAAATCTAACAAGGAATTAAGATCCTGTCCAGGAGATTTTGTAGCCACATTCCAAGTCACAAAATAGTACCTATAGGAAAACCGTTAAAAAATTGTTATAAATTTACCTCTAGTATTAAAATGGCTTTGACATATGATGATGTTGTTCATATTGACATAGTTATGCAAAACTGATCCAACCCACATGATATCAGTTTTGAAAAAAAATTGTATTTTGTTTAATTGTTGTAAAGAAAAAAGTGTTTCTTGTTTTTAGTTAAATTTTATTGCTATATTATAGATTGTTTTCTTTTTCTATTTATTTATCAAAAGGTTTTACATAAATTATGGATTCATTATAATATTTTTCTTATGAAATCTCTCTGAATTTTTATTGCAAAATATATTTGATGTGAATTGGATCTTTTTATTAATTTGCATAAAGGGCAATGATATATTGACAAATAGTATTAAATTGATTATAAAGATCAGCATATTGTGAAGTTATATAAATAGAGTAATATATATAGTTCAGAATTTTTTTATACATAGTGTTATACACATAAATTTTGCTTTGATCTTTTCTGCAAAATCAAGCAATGCAGTCATGAACTTGATTATATCTTATGAAAATATTGCTTTGTAAAATTGATCTTTTTTGAGTTGGTATTTTTTAGGCTAGTATATTTTTGGCTATTTTTGTAGCTAAAAGTTCTTAAATCACCTTGATCTTCATAGAACCTATAGAAGGTTCATTTTAAGGCTTCTCTGCACATATAACTCGATTTTACCAGATTGTGTGTGGGTTGGATCCGGTTTGCATAACTATGTACATATACAGATCCAACCTGCATAACTATGTATATATCAATTTTATGCGATACTCACACTTTTACAGTGTTTGACTGCAAAGATTATAATATGAGTTATCTAATTATGAAATATTGATGAGATAATTTAGAATATTTATAACAATAGTATTAGGTAAATATAAAGAATTCTTGAAATTGAAATATTTATTTAAATGAAAAAATAATCAAATACTGCGTTCATATATTTGAGCTTATAATATAATGAAAACATGAAAATCAATTTTAGTATATTGATTAGCATTACAAACTGCGACTACCAGGCTAACTAAAATAACCTTGACTTTGACGTATGAATAAATTTTAATAAACCTATTAAAATCAATGTAGGTCACATAACATTTTTGAAAGTCTTAGTTTAATTAATAATTACCTCAAAGTATCCATGACTTGATTTTACTTTTGAAGTGTACACGAACAAAACGTTCAACTAAAGATAAGATTAGAAAATAATCTACAAATAAATCGGAATCATATCCAAAAACTAGGAAAATTATCACATACTCTATACGTTAACATTACAGGAAATAGTGGAAATATCACAATTATTTCTAATTTAAAACAATAGTGTATAAAAAAAATATCAACAACACAAACGCGATCATCGGCCCACGAAACGTGAGTTAACACAGACCAACTTTCTCATTCTAAAAATAAGGATAATAAGGTCTTTTTAACTCAGTTTGACACATGACATTTCACTTTACAGAATAGAAACTAGTTGGATAATTTTTTTTTATTAAGAGCATTGGCTACCAAGCTAGTTGGGTTAATAAGCCACATTTGAAATCTCTCCATTTCTCAGTGTTGACTTCAAAATAACCTTGAGTTGGCAGTATAGCGGTGACGCAAAGTGCCATTAAACTTAAGAAGAAGAACCTTGTAATGTAATAAAATTAATATTACTTTTTCAAAGTTATGGCTTCGGTACAATGAGGAAGTATTTAAAAAAAACAAAAGTACTAAAAAAGCACCTCCTCTAGATGGCGACTGTACCAAAAATTGATTTTTGCAGAAAACGAATGGACTAAAGACAGTAATTTCCGTTCCTTTTAACTAAAATATTAAAAAACTGCAATTTGAAAAGTTCGAAACTACGATAAAAAATAACCATAGCGCCATCTAGTTTGTTTTTGGGAACAATTTTTTTTTAAATACTTTCTCATTACAGATTTTTTTCTTATTAAAATATTAGGTCCTTACTTATGAAATCGGCGTTTTGTCGTACTAGCCACTTTAATCACAAAGTTTTCCTCCTTAGTTGGGAATTCCAAATTCAAATTTATACAGCCATTTAAACATGTATTAATGTTTCGTTAGGCGGTATTCATTTGTTATTTTTTCTGTTTTACGTCACCCAGTATAAAAATTCCAATTCCATTTTGGAAATGGAAAACTTGAAATATCGTGTTATTTACGAGTACGAGTTCCACCGTGGTACCAGTGCTGAGGAAACGGCTCGAAGGGTCAATGAAGTGTATGGCGGTTGTGTCGCAAAAGAAAACACAGTGCGTTTTTGGTTCCAACGTTTTCGTGCTGGAAATTTCGACCTGCAGAACAAAGCCTCGTGGACGGCCGGAGACCCAATTTCATAATTAAGAATTGAAGGCTATTGTAGAAGCGGATCCATCGCAAACCACATCCGAGTAGGCTGCGGTATTAGTGATTAAACTGTTTTAATCCCCTTGAAGCAAAAAAACCTCACGAATTGAGTGAAGCAAACCAGCAAACGCGCTTCAACTGCTGCGTTACATTACTTAACCGGCGCAATAATGAAAGCTTTTTAAATCCAATCATTACCTGTGATGATAAGTGGATTCTCTACGATAATCAGAAGCGCTCAACACAATGGTTGGACCCTGGCATGCTAGCCAAATCCTGCTTCAAGCGAAATTTGACCCCAAAAAAGTTACTTGTAAGCGTTTGGTGGACCAGTACCGGTGTCGTTTATTACAGTTTTCTCAAATCTGGCTAGACGATTACGACAGACATCTATTGTCAGCAATTGCAAACCATGCTGGAAAAACTAGCTGTTAAACAACCGAGGCTGTAGAGGTCTATCGCCACCACACACCGCACACCAGACGGCTACCAAATTAGAAGAGCTTTAATTGATAAGTCTAAGACATCCACCATGCTCCCCGACCGTGCTCCAACAGATTTCCTTTTTTTCGATATTTAGATAACTTCTTGCAAGGGAAAAAATTCAACTCCAATGGGGCAGTGCAAATCGCCTTCAAAGATTTTATTGATTCCCGTCGGAATGGTTTTTTTAGTAAAGGGATCAATGAACTACACATGAAATGGTAAACTGCATTGATAACAATGGTAACTTTGATAAATAAATAGGTATATTGTATTAAAAAATAATCGACTTTTTGTTCCCCCCATACGAAACACCAATTTTAGATGTAAGGACCTAATATATGTATTTATTTTCATAAAATAAAACTAAATCAATTTTACGTTCTACTTTGATCAATTATTGTAATAAATATATATGTTAAATAAGTGAACACGTTGTCTTTTTAAACCGTAGGGACATATCCAAAAATTGGAATGATTGTTGATCTACTCGGATGTTAATTTGATATTCTTCAACACTTCCATTACGTTAGTTTCCATTTTCTTTATATAAATAAAAAGAAGGTTATTCAAAGATCCGTTGGTATTAATCGAGTTGCGTTTGCGTAACTCGAATTAATTGAATTTCACCTCGATATTAATCCGAATTATCAGATCCATAACAATACTAACGATTCTATTCTCTCTAACGTCATGAATAAGGAAGTATTTATAAAGAAACATTAGTTCCCAAAAAACTAGATGTCGCCACGGTACGTTCCTAATTTCTCCATGACAACCTTTCCAGTTTTCTTTCAAGTTTAAAAATAAAATAATTTTCTAAACTCAATAAACAACTCATATTCTATTTGTACTTTTGACGTGGATACGTCTATGTTTTCGTTCTACAGGGGGGTCATTCTGTGAGCAGGAGTATATGCACTAACGCCATCTATTGGCGTATAAGTGAACTATGCTTGCTCTGCAGGGGGAGGTACATTTTGTCAGCAGGAGTATATGCACTAACGCCATCTGTTGGCGCTAGTGAATACTTTTTTCATTCAACAAATGAAGGCAACGAATATTTCTTTATTTAGTGTTTAGTGTCTTCAATTTGTTTATTTATTTTTTTATCAATTACTCATATAACCATTCATACATAGACGTATCCACGCATAAAATATGGCTGTATCAATGATACAGCCAACCAGGGTTTTTTTTTTGTATTTGTATTGATATCTAAGTTTTGAGCTTTTTAAATTTCAATTTTTTTAATATGTTAGTTACCAAAGACAGTCATTTCTGTTCCTATTAAAGGAACGGAAATGACTGTCTCAACTTTCAACAATCAACAAGAATGGTTATAATTTTAAATTTCAAAATCACAAGACACGTTATGTTATAAATTGTAGATCGAGCTCTGGCAACATTCTCACCGCCAGCACTTATTATTATGGCGTCGATTGCGATAACTTGTGTGCTAACCTATGTTACCTATAATTAAGAAATAATATGTCGAACCTCGCTGATGATTATAATAAAACACCAAGTGCATTATATCAGGCCGTTTAATTTATGCCACCACCACGCGTGTTATGTGAGGTGCGACAAACTGGCGACGAGTATTAAAGAAACAAGGTGGACATTTTGTTTAAGAAGGAAGTGGGCTTGTTGGTCACGTACAACAAGTCTAATCAAAGTAAGTGGATTTATTAACTATCTGTTATTCCTCGTTGTTACGTCTACGAGTTTATCATGGCAGAAGCAGATCAGCAACAGGTGTACCAATTAATTACACCCGCCAACGTACAAATGCCACCATTTGATGCAAGTAAATGCACGTGGAAAGTATATACACAAGTTTTTAAAAATAAGATGGTAGTTCACGACATCGATCAAGAAAAATGGGCCAGCTACCTAATCAGTTATGTAGGTTTTGAAATAGTCACATTGTTAAGCGAGTTATGTTACCCTGAAAACATTGAAAATAAAGATTACGATTATTTAGTGACTAAAGTAGACAATCATTTAGAACCTGCACCTTCAGAAATAGCAGAGACTTACAAATTCATGAAAAGGAATCAACAAGTAAATGAGACTGTGCTAGATTTTGTGGCAGCCTTAAAAAAATTAGCAAAGACTTGCAATTTTAATAATTATTTAGACCGAGCATTACGAGATAAATTTGTCCACGGATTAAATAACCAATCAATCATTAAGAGGTTATTTTCAGAAAAAGAGTTAAATTTTCAAAAAGCTGTTAGCATTGCTACTAATTTAGAGTTAGCAGAAAAAGGGTCTAAGTTGATCACTGAAAATAAAAATGACAATGTTAATGAGCAAGTCAATGAAACAAATGTTATAAAAAATAAAATGACAAATCATTTGATTTGCCATTGCTGTGGATATAAGGGACATATCAAGCCGGACTGTAAATTCATAAAGGAAACATGTCATAATTGCAAGAAGCAAGGACATTTAGCTTCAGTTTGCAAAAGTAAGCAGCCACTGAAAACAACTAACAAAACAAAAGGTAAACAGTTCCGTCCCAAGTCAAGAGTGGTTCGCGAGGTAGATGCGAATACTTTTAATGAAGAACAGTTCTCAGTATGCAGTATTAAATATGATGATGAATTTCAGTGTTATGAGGACTATATGTTGTGTGATTTATTCAGTGAAAATAAGGAAAGTGCTCAAGTAAAAACAGTAATAATTTCAAGTGCCAAACCTTCTCCGTGGGAGGTAATGTTAAACATTAA